TTCCTTTTACAGAACAGTCAAAGAACATTCTTCTCGCACTGTTTCCCTCAAATACTCTCCTTTCACAGCCCCCCTTATTGTCCCTGTGTTACTGCTGCCGGAGCGTTTCCCACGTCCCATTCCGTGTCACTATCAGTGCTGCAGATGGTCACAGCCTGTCACCCACCCGGTCCTGGAGAGATGCTGAACCACGCGTTTGAGGCTGGCAGCTCCAGCCACCACAAAAAGAAGTGTCAGAAGAGGGTTACAGCTGGAGGTGGAGAAATCCAGCACCCCTCTTGTCTCCTACTTGCTTTTTTTTTTGCTTTCTTTACAAACTTCCATCGTGCCTCACCTTCCAGCACATAGAAGGGGAACATAGAAAAGGCTGCCTGTGCCTTTTGTAGCAAAGTCCGACCTTTCCTGCTGCACTCACTCAGTTCTAGCAGAAGCTTGAACAAAAGTGTTTCAAAAGTTGTAATTCTCTCCATTGCTTCTTAGGAGAAAACTCCTGACGGCTTTACAGATGTGTACATGCTATTATGTCAGCCGCCAGCATCTTAAATCCTGAAGTACTCTTGAAAAGGACCGATGGCAGCTAGAGCATCCACCGGTACCCCACGGACACCACACTGAGCGCTAGGGCTGCCTGACCCTGTGGCGTGCTGGTACCAAACATCTCACCTTCATCCTTCTCACAGACCCCATAAAAGAGCTTTAGAGGTGAACTCCCTTCTCATTCCCAATCGCTAAGCATCAAGGATATAACAGTTCTCCAAGTCACAACAATCAAGTCCATCAGCTTGGACGTGAGAAAGGACTTCATACACAGAGAGCGGGGGGAGCCCCACCAAATGGGGTGACTTCCAGGAACAACTGAGAAATGTACAAATCTCAGGTAAAGTTGCAGAGAAAGTGAAAGTGGACCTAGTCCTTAATTCAAGCAGGACACGTTACCTTGTCTGTGGTCATCACGTACAGATTTTCTTGGGTTTGATCAAGGACCAGGTCATTCTTTATGGGTTTGTTTAGTTCAATAGTAAGAGAGCTGTACTCAGTTGTAGTGGATGACAGGAACACCTATTTCATGGAAAAAAGAAAGGTCGTTAATGTTGCTTTTTTTCTCCCAATATCATTATATCTGGCTACTGCTGTAAAAGACAATAAAAAGTGTTTCTATAAATACATTAACATGAAAAGGAGGGCTAAGGAGAATCTCCATCCTTTATTGGATGCGGGGGGAAACATAGTGACAGAGGATGAGGAAAAGGCTGAGGTACTTAATGCCTTCTTTGCCTCAGTCTTTAATAGTAAGACCAGTTGTTCTCAGGGTACCCAGACCACTGAACTGGAAGACAGGGACGGGGAGCAGAATAATCTAAGGGGAAATGGTTAGCGACCTGCTACACCACTTAGACACACGTAAGTCTGTGGGACCAGATGGGATCCACCCAAGGGTACTGAGAGAGATGGCGGAAGTGCTCTCCAAGTCACTTTCAATCACTTATTAGCAGTCCTGGCTAAGCAGGGAGGTCCCAGTTGACTGGAGGCTAGCAAATGTGTCACCCATCTACAAGAAGGGCCAGAAGGAGGATCCGGGGAACTACAGGCCTGTCAGTCTGACCTTGGTGCTGGGGAAGGTTATGAAGCAGATCATCCTGAGGGCACTCACGTGGCATGTACAGGACAAGCAGGTGATCAGGCCCAGTCAGCATGGATTTATGAAAGGCAGGTTGTGCTTGACTAACCTGATCTCCTTCTATGACCAGGTGACCTGCTTAGTGGATGAGGGAAAGGCTGTGGATGTTGCCTACCTAGACTTTAATAAAGTCTTTGACA